GGTTAAATAATGCTTCTCTGAACATTTTGTCATGCACGTCATAGCTAGAAATTTCCTTTGGTTTTATACCTAAAAATGGAATGAGGAAGAAATAACTATTGTTATATACAACATGGATGATTCTTACAAAAACAGTGTTGAGCAAAAGAAGACACATACATATAATGAGTACATACTGCATGGGGGACTCAATTCATATAAAATTTGAAAACAAACTAATCTATGGTATTGGAAATCAGGATATTGGTTACCTTTCAGGGGTTAGTGACTAGAAGGAAGCAAACCAGGGGCTTCTGGAATTCTGGAGTGCTCATAACAATATTTTTTTTGATCTGGGTGCTGGTTAAAGGGATATGTTCACTTTGAGAAAATAAAATTGGATACCTAAGATTTGTGTAATCTCTGCATGTATGTTATACTTTAATAAAATTCTACTTAAATTTTTATTTAAAAGCATTTACATGCTCACTTTTATTCATCTATGCAAAATTATGTACATGTGCAGGTATATATACATAAATTAAAATTTTCATTTAAAAAGTTGGTGACTTAAGTCCATGTATTTACCTACCTTCCTTCCCCAAATCCCACTAGAATGACTAGAGAAATATGAAAGTAAGAAAGAAACGTATAGCAGTGATAGGAAAAGAGCACTGATTGTCAGAAATATTGAGAAAGGTCTCTTAAAAATGACACAGAAGACATCAGATTGGGGGAAAAAAACCATCAGTACAAAGCAGACCAAAATTCAAGGTACCAGGGAAAAAAGTTTCACAAAACTATTCTAAAAGAATCCTCAAACTCAGAGTATCAGTGGTTGGGAAAAGGGTGATTGTGGGCCATACATAAGGGACCAAATCAAAGGACTTTGAGATATGTACCAGAAAAACTACACACAGTCTATATTTGCATCCCAGCTTTGTAAATTGGGAACCTTGCCCCACCATGTTGAGTACAATGGTTTGAATGTGTCCCCTCCAAAATTCAGCTGCTGCAAATGTAATAGTATTAAGCAGGGGGGCCTTAAAGTGGTCACGAGGGACCCTCCTATCAAGAATGGGATTAGATACCCTTTTAAAAGGGCTTGATGGAGGGAGTTCATCTCTTTTTCATCTTTCTGACTTTTGCCATGTAAGGCCACAGTGTTCATCCCCTCTGGAGGAGGCAGCCTTCAAGGCACCATACTAGAAGCAGAAAAAGGATCCTTACCAGATACCAGAAACTGGTGCCTCGCTCTTGGACTTCCCAGCCTTCAGAACTATGAGAAATAAGTTTGTGTTGTTTTTAAACTACCCAGTCTCAAGGATTTTATTACAGCAGCATAAAATGAACTAAGACATTAAGTCAAGAAGGAGGAGAGGGACCCCAGCTAGCACCACAAAGAAAAGTACAGGCAGCAAATTATCCTAAGACACAGGACTCTCTGTTCATTCATTCACCCATTCATTAATATAGGTATTGAGGGCCTAATATGTATCAGTCAGAGAATGAGAGTGGTGGGGGGAAAGAGAAGATCTCTCTGATAAGGTGGAATCTGGACAAAGAACTAAGGGAAATAAGGAAGTATGAGCCATGAGAGAATCTGGGGAAAATGCATCCAGGCAGAGGGAATAGCAATTGCAAAAAAAGAAAAAAATGGGGTGAGAGTATACTTGGCATGTTTGCATAACAGCAAGGAAAATGATGTGCCTGGAGCACATCAAGAGAAACGGAGACTGGCAGGATGTGAGGTCAGAGAGGTATTTTGGGACCAAATCATGTGCTATCTTGTAGGCCCTTGTAGAGGATTTTGGATTGTATTATGAAGAAGATGGAAAGCTATATGAAGGCTTTGAGTGGAAGAGTAATATGAGCTGTCTTAAATATTCGAAAAGATCACTCCAGCTACTCTGTTGAAAATAGACTGCAGGAGTCAGGGGCAGAGCAAGGAGACCAGTTAATGGGAAGTTGGAATAATATAAGTGAGACAGGATGGTGGTCAGATAGAGTGGGGGAACAGTGGGGGTGGTGAGAGTGATTAGATGATGGACCTATATTGAAGGTAATATTGCTCATTCCTTCCTTGCTTCCCATTGGCAACTGCAACTTTACCCCATTTTTGGACAACACCAAGATATTACAGCATTGGCTTCAGGCGGTGTCAGGCAAGGGATTGCTTAGTAAGGAGCAACCAGAAAGAATTTAGAAGGCTGGGTATGGTGACTCACGCCTGTAATCCCAGCACTTTGGGAGGCTGAGAAGGGAGGATGGCTTGAGCCCAAGAGTTGGAGGCTGCAGTGAGCTATGATTGTGACACTGCCCTCCAGCCTGGTGACAGAGGAAGACTGTTTCTAAAAAAAAAA